ATTAGTACACATATGTAAGTACGGAGAATGGGACGCGTGTGGGGGATAATGGCACCGTATCGCAGCATTATGATTGAACGATATACTATCTCAAAGGTCTCGGCCGGTACACCATCAAGATGAAGCAAGATGAAGTTGGACAGTGTTGGCAAGGTAGAGCTAGAATAGGTGGTGTGGGCAATGAGCTGTCCCACGGGGTGCGGGAGTACAGCAGCTGTAGAAGCAATCGATCAACCCAATCATGCCTAGACCTTTCAGCCAAGCAGTAACCCATCATGCCGGTATCATGGTCTTTTTTTGGGGGGGGCGGCTCTTTGGGAGGCCGTCTCTAGTTGCATGTCGTGTCTTTCCTATTCGAGTATACAGAACATGGCCATCTTTTACAAGATACAAAAATCTACGGGTTGTCGACGTCGCGTTTTGTTTTTCTGGTTCCTGGGTTGGTCTGTGAGAAGCTTCTTAACCATTGCATGTCGACGGCCGTTGATAGCCTGCTCGGCTCCACGGTCTACTCGCAACAAAAGCCGGAAACGCGATGAGCTGACGCGGGTCAGACCATCGAACGCGCATGCGTGATATACAAAATTGCAATAGTAACATATGTAGGCCTACGAACCTAGCTCCCCGAGTCTGATCCTAGGGCGGATTAATAGGTGGATGGGACGATAAGGTGTGTTCTGCGTAACTAAAGGGATCTAGGCAGCCAAGGCAAGGCAAAAGCGCAGCAGGCTTAGTACTTTTTGACGTGATAATGAGAGGCGGACGCAAATACGCAAATACGTAAATAGGGGCGAGGATCCATTACACACGACACGCAGAGTAAATTGATTTTCAAGCCGTGTAAGACCGCGTCAACAGAGCTTGATTGGATAGGAGCTATCGACGATTTGGCTTGGACGGAGCGACATCTGCCTTGTATTCTTGCAGATTTCCATGGGCTGAAATGGCGACACTAGCCCAAATGGAAGAATCCCTGCTTTGAGTCTCCTTTGCAGCTCTATGCGAACGGGCGTAGGATTTGCCCTCAAAATTGGAAAATAGTTTAAGGGGCAATGAAACGGGACCACATGCTATGGTTAGATACATACCTACCTAAGGTGCCTAAGGTATGTAATAGATATTATTAGCCTTATTGTGAGGTATCATCGGATGATTTTGTCATGGCGGACATAAATTTTCAACACGTTTTTGGCGTGCATTAGAATTATTAGCATCACTGCTTACGAAACTACCAGGTCTGTTAGGGTATTGCGGATCGACTTCGCTGGCCGCATTCCTGAAGGCAGATCTGTAGTAATCATATCGAAAGTATTGTAGGTTATTGTACCTTTATTACGTTAAAGGTCCGTTTATTAAATCGTAGCACAGTGCAGTCGGAGAAGGCACAAACACAGTGTGACTCTTATTGGAATTACAGGAGTCTCCACTATTCTACCTACCATTTCCATTTTGAATACGCTCGGTGCATCTTGAAATTTTTCTACTGTAGCGCCTTAGCAGGTACGTACAGTTTGAAGTACTGTACCGCTTGTAGTATGCGAACTTTTTGCAAGTTGCGCCGTCCCTGCACGATGTATTCTACGGATGCATAGGTACTAACCAACATAGGTCTATCATGCCCTGGTTGTAATAATTCGACGATATTTGGCAAGCTTTCCAATGCCGCACATTACTGATTTCCGTCAGCGAGAAAGAGAAAAGGGAAGAGACAGAGAGAGACGGAAAGAGAGAGGCGGCCGAGAAAACGGCTAAGTGCCCTAAAAGAACGGCACCACGTGCATACACCTATCAAATCTCGAACTCCAGGATTCTAAAAGTTACAATGCATTATGCACACAAAGGCGTATGTAGTATGCGTGCTATATGGTCCGGTCTATACCGAAGAGGCCATACGAAACAAACAAATACGCAAAGGCTACTCGCGAGTCGCGACAGAGAAGGTTTTGATTTACTGGACCCCTTACGCAGGTGAAAATGTACACAGATGGTACCAAGTTAGAAATTAATAGAATACATACATACCTAAAGCTTGTCTAACACAGCATTATCATAGCAAGGGCAGAGGCTCAGGTCAAAGTTGGATCAAATTTATAGTGCATACATACGCCTAATCTACCGCTACCTAGGTATTTCCTAGGTAGGTACTTTAGGTTATGTAGGTACCATGCTGCGATGTAAGGCTGGTGCCACGAGACAAATAGCCAACCAACAAGTCCCATTATGCTGTCTCGAGGTCCTTTTGGATCCTTTGGATCCTTAGTTAATTATATGTAACCCATTATAAAATACCAATTAACAACCAGATAACTCGCATAGTAGTTAAACATTGAAATTTCCATATGCATATCTGAGTCTATTATTAAATTCCATATTCCGACAACCAACCGTACGGTAGCACCCGTAGAGAGGGCGTACCGTTCAGTTTCGCGTACACACACCCACGGCAGCCTGCCATCTCGAAAATCATCAGCACAAAGTTCATTGGGCGCTGCGAATTGGCGGTCTATATCGAGCAGCAATCAGCAGAGCTTGTTTATCGACCGCCAAACCCATGCGGCCCAAAGAGACGGCTTGGGGTTCGCAATCAATAGAGAGGGGGAAAAAATCAACAGTCAACAGTCAACAGTCAACAGCCAACTAGCCGTGCTTCAGGCTTCAACACCGGGCTCCTGCTAGATCAGATAGGTGTACGACAATGTACCTCAAGATACACCCCTTCGAAGTGGACTGCGCTATCTACCTAAGTACGATTCACGAAGTATATATACGTAAGAATAACGCAGTTTCTATGTATGTACACTGTCTATCAGATTAAGGAATAAGGTTGAAACCTTACGTGTGTACAATACGTACGTGTACGGATGTAGTATGAGGTAGTATGTAGTGTGTACACTACTTTGAGGTAGGAGATTTCAATGCTTGCTGCCTGTTGCTTGCGACTTACAAGGACCTCATGTGCAAAAGAAGAGGGTGTGCAAGCAGGCTGGCAGGCAAGGTGCTGCAGCAGGCTGCGTGTCAGGGAAAGTGTAAGAAGAACACGGGGAGAGACCTCTAGAGGGAAAGAAGGACTAGAGGTACTATTGTACGTACAAAAAGCCTGCTTTCGGGCGCACGCGAGTAAGCTGGGAAAGAAAGTACCTAACTTCAATGTTGTACTGTACCTGCAAGGCGGTCCCGACTCCCAGCTAACCTAGGTAGCCAACCTTAGTAGATTCTCGAATCTCATAGGCTGTCGCGGGCGCGGTACCTTGCTATGCTTATCCTAGCCCCCCCGGCCTCTTTCCCTTCTGTGAGGCCCCGGGCCCTGCAAAACCTGGTATACTTGGTGTACATACCACTGTACCTGTGGATTTTAATACTGGTGCTTTTTTTTTCTCGCTCTTTCGCAGGCCGCTTCTACATAGTACATTTTGCGTGGATGCTCTGACCCGCGCTGGGGCCGATGTCTTAAAAGTACCTGTTCAACCAAATCCCATCTCTCTTCCAATCCTTTTTCATCTCCTCCATCCTCCTCCAACTGAGGCCATCTCCTAACTCTCTCCTTCCTTTCCTCGTCCTCTTCATCCGATCCATTCATTTCCTCCACGACATTTATCCTCACTATCGTCTCCTTTTCCATTCCAAGGAGGAAAGGAGGAGAGAGAAACCCGGGCCTTTACGACAGCGCAAGACGAACAGGGTAGGGCCGAGATATTAGCAGAAGAGAGAGGGAGAGACGCAAGTCAAATAGATGAAGAGAGAAGCAAAAAAGAAGAACTAGGTTTTTTTTTTGCTTTAGAACTTCGATAATATTGTCCTCTTCAGAAATCCTTCCAGGTAATAACCGATATTTCTGGAATTCGAATTCCTAGGTCTTTTTTATCTAGGCCAGGAATCCCCCAATTACCACCACCAAAAACCCTCCCTACCTCAGCTTCATCCCGTCCATCAGCCCCCCCTTCTTTTAATCCGTCAAGGCGATTCGATTCCCTCTACCCCGTCCTGCTCTCCATTCCTCGACCGAGCACTTTTCATCTCCCCCCCCCCTTCCGTCCAATTAGATATTCCCAAAGAGAGTAGTCTTGGTCTAGCTTGCAGAGCAGACATAAGGCAATTCGAATCTCCTAATCCTCCTTCGTGCCAACGGTACCAGGAATCTGACTCTGGCTCATCGCAATTACCCCAGAAGAATATCGGTATTAGACTCCGCACGGGTCTACTACTGATTCGAGAATCACATCCACGAGCCCTACATGAACCCGGTCGCTCGACTATAATCAATTAGAAGCGTGCAAGTGCAAAGGTACGTTTGAGAGAGATAGCAAATAATTACATCGATCCCCCCCCAAAAGTGAGAAGAAGCGAAAGGAAAAGGGGAAAAAAAAAAAAAGAGAATTGTTATTCGAAATCTGAAAAGATTCACATTCTGATATTGGTTTCCCTCCCTGCGCAGGTACATACCGACGGTCCACCTGCAGTGTTCCAACGGTGTACTCGAACACTCACGTACGCTTCAATCCGTTGTCGAGCAGAAGACGCTTGCCCTTGTGGGACTCGTTAACTCGCTGTTCCCACCAATTCATCGAGGAATCACCTAATTTCCTGTGATTAATCGTGGCGGTAAGGGAGACCCTTCTTCAGCGAAATTATAACACAGACCAACGTCATTTTGTATATGCACGTATGCTGCATTAAATACTCCATTGAGGATCATTTACCTGCCAGACGTTTTGCTGCGTGCCAGGAACAGATCCCCACACATTGTCCCTCGAATCAGAATGCTTGGTGTTCTGCCCCTGATCGTGTGGTTCCAGAAGACCGTGCCCTGTTCCGCCTGGCCTGGTTTCGGTCCATCATGTCTCTCCTTGTTCTCAATTGGGTTATTGGTTTCTGACGCTAATGCTTTTCCACTGCAGAGCCCTTTTACTCGACGTCTCTTTTTTAACGGCCGCACCTCCGGCCCTCTTTCACCTCAACATTTCACCGTCTTTCGGCAGCCCATTCGGCCATAGTCATTCCTTTATTTTTTTCGTCTTTTACTGCATACAGTTCATCACGCTCATTAATATCGTAATAATCGTTTTGTTCATCCAGTCGGAATAATACACTCTTTCGAATTCCACCTGCGACGAACACCCTAATACACACACACACACACACACACACTCCTTCAACTGTATCAAGATTCCTGGAGAACCTAATCGTCACTCTTTAAAGACCACACCCCAGCATTGAACCTACCCGGCTATATCACTCACCCGTAGTTTACTCGACCATTTTATCACCATGGCCTACTCCAACTCAACTGACTGCGGCTTCTTCGTCGAGTCCGACGAGCCTCGACAACCTCGAATCAGTATGAAGGATGCGGCGAAGATGCTAGCCCGAAATAGGCAAGAGATGATTGCCAACGAGCTGTCTCGCCTGGCCGGCGATGAGTATCTCGAGGACATCATGCAGCACATGAGGCATATGGAGGTTGGTGTTTTAATATTACAAACTCCACTTTTTCCCCATCCAAATATTTCTAAACAAGTAGAATGATGGTGGTTGGGATCTTGGGTTGTCTTAAGGCTGACAATTAGTATAGGACGAGACACTACCGGATGCCAATCTGATTGACATGCAGCGAGAAATCCAATGGTTCATGCGACCTTACCTGATTGACTTTTTAATCGAGGCCCACGCTGCATTCGCGCTCCTGCCGGAGACCCTGTTTCTTACCGTGAACCTGTTAGACCGGTACTGTTCAAAGCGAGTGGTTTATAAGCAGCACTATCAGTTAGTCGGATGCGCTGCCCTTCTTATTGCCGCCAAGTATGGTGATAAAAAAGATCGCGTACCTCAGATCAACGAGCTGAACAACATGTGCTGTGGTCTTTACGATTCAGGAATGTTTACACAGATGGAGATGCACGTCCTTAACACGCTTGAGTGGACTATCGGGCACCCGACTGTCGACTTCTTTACGCAACTCATCGTTGCCGAGGAATCGGATGACCGCGAGGTTGAGCATATGGCAGCTTATCTATGCGAGATCGCATTGTACCATCGAGACTTTGTTTCCACGAAGCCGTCGATCATGGCACGTGCCTCGCTCGCCCTTGCACGTGCGATACTTGGACGACCCGAAGTCAATGACGGCGAATGGGATCATGTGGAGAATGTTACGGTGCTTGCACTATCTCAGCACCTGCATCAGCCGTCGGTCACGTTATCAAGGAAGTACTCGTCTCACCACCTCTCCCGTGTTTCCGGGAAGCTTGCCGAGTTTCTTGCTCAGCAGGCAGCTATTTCTCGTCGAGCGCAAGGCCCGCCCTCTCCTCCCGCGGAGCCCAGCATATCAACGCACCACTCAAACATATATAGCACTCCTCAGAAGGGACACGGTGCTGCCATTGGTGTCGCGGATGGGTATCTAACACCACCTATCACCCCCGACGGTGTTGACTTTGGCGTTGTCACAGACCCAATGAATAAATACGTTCCCCCTAGGTGTCCAGTTACTCCCACACCTCAACCTCCCAGCGCGACGGGGTATCCCCAACAGCAGCAACCCTCCACACAAAAGTACTCCAACTACTCATATGAGGAATACAGTGGTCCAATGGTCTCATAATAGTCGCCACAGCGTGGAGGGCATCTCTACAGACTTGGAGTAGATTCACCTTATCAATTCTATCATACGAATAACTCGTTTTGAGGCTAATCGCATGGATGCGTATCGTTGGAAGGAAAAAGATTGTTGCATAATTGACGGTTTAGGTTCATCTCCATGGCATCAGCGACTTGTTTTTATTTCAAAATACTTCTTTATTTTTTTTTTCCTTTTCTCAGTCATACCCATTCAGCGTGCCGTTGTTGCGTCAACCACTAAAGCGAACGATTGTCGACAAAAAAAATCTGATTTCTCCGTGTGAGTTCGGGCGTTTTTTTCAACTATCGATCCGAGTACAACAGGCGGCGCGCCAAATTGCAGCGCAAGAAGCTACGGAGCGTTGAGACGGGGCAATACATAAGGCAGACGAGGCTGTATGTGGAAGGAAAAAAAAAAACAACTGGCAATTTGTGAACAATGGGGGGAGGATGACGAAAATTGGGCGCATGTGCGTAGTGGCGCGGCTACGGGTGGGCAATCCATCAGTTACTTTCGAGATGTTAAGAGAAGTTCCGAACCGCTCCGCGCTTCGGACGAACAGCGAAAGTAATATTCATGCACGCCGCACGATACGATACACGGTTCGACTCCCCACGTCGGGAGTATCTTAATTCTTGTGGAGGACGTTTACTGCGGAATACCCCTTTGGCATTTGGACGATACCTTAGATGGCTTTTCGTTCTCATCGTGGACTGTTATGTCACATAGCATGCCTGCCGCGGCCGTAAATAAAACGGAAAAGAGTAAAAATTCTCTACAAATTTCTGCCGCTATTCTTTTTTGGTTTAATTTGATGTGATTTTACGTGTATAGTTTTTTTTTTTTTTTTTTTTTTTTTTTCAAGTATCCTGGTAAAATCTAGACCCCTTTTTCGAGATATTTAGGATGACCTAGGAGTTATGATCCGAGCTGTTGGCTCGAAATGACCGAATGACTGATATCCACCTTGGATTCCTTCGCATAAGAAAGAAACCCACCTATTTCCCTTGGGGGCAATAAGCTAATGCAAGTGGACGGCTTTGGCCCGTAATCAAGCAGCAAGAAGGTAGGTAGATTATGATTTACCGCGCATAATACATATACATAGTAATCTAGCACTTGATCCGTTGGTTCCCCCCTTACCGCCATTTCATCCAGTCAGGCTCGTTTGTCGTAACCTTGGTATCCTTTTTAGCTAAGTTTGGATATTGGATACCTAAATCGCGATTTACCCCTTGTTGAATTATCCAGCCTAGTAAATTCAACTTTGAAGTCTACCATGTTGTATCTACTATCTAGAAAAAAGTAAAAGACTGGAAGATGAAAGAAACTGCTAGGTATATTGCGATTGACTCCAGATTCAGGCTGGGCGCCTTGTCTTGGGCGCGTACCTAGAGTTAGGCAACCAAGGTCAGTCTTAGATCAACATGGGACAAGGAGTTCCAAATGTTAAAATACATACGAAACTAGCTTTAGCTAAGCATTATATATTATTATAGCCAACTAGTATGTGTGACGAACCTACACTTAGGTCCGTTAGAGTGTAGTAACTGGGATCTTGATTTTAGCTAAATAATAATAATACGGGTCGAGTGTTAATAAAATGTTAAAGTGTTTGTTAAGAAGGTTTAAAGTCCTTCCCTTTATATAAATTAAATATAAAATTTAAATTAATAATTAAGAAAATGTAAATGAATGATTAAATATATAATGGTTTAAATATTTTTATAAACTTTTTTATTTTTATATATATTTATATAATATTTTGTAAATTTGTTTAATTTAATAAATTTAATTAATTTAATTATATTAAAAATGCTTTTTAAAGTTTATTTAATACCTCGTGTTTTTTAAACCCCGCTTTTAGGCATTTTAAGTTATTTTTTTTTGCGTTTATTATTAGTTTATAATATTATTCTTTTTCTTTTTCCAGCTTTTTTATCTTTAAAAACTTTTTTTTTAATTAATACTTTTTTCTTTTTTTATTTTATTTTTGTTAATAAGTACGTACGTATGGTAAAAAGTAATAAATAAATAAATTAAATAATAATAAGGGTAAAATTAATATATTAATAATATAATATTTTTTTATATAATAATAATGGGTATATTATTCCTTTTTTTAATATTAGTAATAAAGCATTTTATTTTTAATAAAATACTTACACGTTAATATTATATAATTATTATTTACTTTATTTTTTTTTTATAATTAATTAGTTACGAAATTAATTATATAATAAAAAAAAATCTTTAAAAAAAAAAGAAAAAAAACTTACGATAGTACGTATTTACGTTAATTTAAATATGTGCTAATATGCATATAAACTAACTTATACACAGGTTAAAACGCATTTGTAATAATACGTATTTATATTAATATATTATATATTTTTATAATAAATTAAGGTTAAAAGTATAATAGCTTAAATTAAAGGTTATTTTATATATTAAGTTATATTAATTCGTATTGTGCTATTTTACATTTAAGTTAACTAATAAGTTTTTATATAATATTTTTTATTATAATTAACGCTTACATTTAATTATAATAATTCGTTATTATAATAATATATAATTATTTTTAAGCTTTTTACGTTTTACTTATTCTTTTAAACGTAAATTAATTTAATTATTTTTTATTAATAATTTTATAATTTTATTTAATAATATTTTAATTATAATATTAATTAGGTTATACGTGTTATAAATTTAACAGATATTATTTATTTTTTAATTTTTGTAAAATTATTATAAAGTTATTAAATTAATTATTAATTTTTTTTATTAATGTTTTTTATTTATATTAAATATTAATATAAAGAAAAAGAATTAATATATAAAATAAAAGAAGCTTTTAAAATTAATAATTAATTTAAAATAATATTAATAAAATAATAAATAATAAAATTTACGTTAAAATTTTATACTATTTTATAAATTTTATTAATAAGTACGTTATAAGTAATATATTTATATTTAATAAAAAATTAATAAATAATATTTTTAATAATTTAAAATTTATTATTTTAATTTATAAGTTTTTTATTATTTAAAATAATAATATAATTAATTTATAAATTAAGGTCTTTATTATTTACAAATAACTTATCAATAAAAATATATAATTATAAATTTTAAAGATTTAAATTAATGTAATTAAGTTTTTATAATTAATTATTTATTTGCTACTTAATTTTAACGTTAAAAGCTTTTATTTTTTTTAAATTAAGTTTAAAATATTAAGTTATTATTAAATAATTAAAGGCAGTTTTAAGTTAATATATAAAAAAGATATACGCTTTTTAGGCCTTTTATTTTATAAATTATTTAATTATATTCGGGGATTTAACATTTAATAACGTTAGTTTTTCAGCTTATCCCTTTTAAATAATTGTAATCCCGTAATTTTTATTATAAACAGTAATATAAAAGCCGTTAAAGTTTTTAGTTTTATTATTTAAAATCTTTTAAGGACGTATTTTAATTCCGGCTTTAATAAGTACTTTATTTTTAGCAACAAAAAATTTTATTATACTTATATTTAAAGTATTATCCATTTAAAAGCCAGTAAATTTAAAAGGATTTATATTTATTATTAATAAATAAAAGTTAAATGTTAATAATTTTATATATAATTTTTAGTAATAATAATGTAAATAAGTTTTAAATTAATAAGTATTTAATTTTTACAAAATTATATAATAATTTAATAATATATAATAATATTTTTTTAAAGTATTTATTTTTTAATTTTATTAATAAATATATAAATATTATTTTTTATATTAACGTTTTAAATTAAATATAAATTATAATAATATTTTTTATTATTATTTTTATTTTTTAATAATAAAATATAAAAGCTAATATTAATATTAATTATTAATTAGTTTTTTAAATAATAAATATATATATTATTATAAACTTTTTATTAGGATTATTATATTTTTGAACTATTAAGCATAATTTTTTATATAGTATAAAAGTGTTTTTACTTTTGATTTTATAAATTATTTATAATTTAAATATTATTACGCTTTAATATATTATTATATTATATATTTTAAATTATAATATGCTTTTATTAAAAAGGGCATTTAATTCCTTTATATTTAATATTTTATACGGTTTTTTTAATATAATTATTTTACTATTTATTCGAAATTATAATATTAAAATAAAGTTATTATATTTTTTAATATTAATATATAAAATAATAATATATAATAAATTATTAATATATATAAGATTTTCTTTTAAAATAATTTAATAATTATTAAGGTTAAATATAAAATTAAATAATTTAATTTTAATTTTTTTTAATAAAATTAAGGTTTTTTTAAATTAAATATAAAATTTAATATACAAATTTTAAAACGTAAACATATTATTTAACACATTTAAAATAATTATAATATCTTTTTTAATAATTATAATAACTTTATATAAGCCCTTTTAACCACCTTTTTCCTTATAAATTAATACTTTATTTTTAATAAGTAAAAACATAAGGAAAGTTGCTTTAATATTAAAACCGTTATAAATATTTAAAGTATTTTATATAAAACATTATAACTTAATTTTTTTAATTTCTGTTATTACTTTTTAAATTATTTATATCCTTTAAATTTGTATGATTATAAGTGGCAAATTCATATTAATCTTAGGATAAACGCTAAAAACAAATAGGGTTAAAACAAAACCGTTCGGGTTAATAATGTTGTTAATTGCTTTTACAACCATTTAAAAGCATAACGTTTTAAAGTTAAAATCCTTAAGTTTATCGGTAATAATTTCATATACTTTATAAATAAAGCCGTAATACCCTTTAACCTTTCCGATAAATTAATAAGCCTTTATTAATACTTAATGATAAATGACTTTTACTACCCGTGCTTTATTGCAGAATTTAAGGTTATTAAAATTTGTACTTATATTATAAAAAATAACATTAAATAATTTAAAATAAATATTAATTTAACATTTTTTTAACATTTCTTACATTTTTTTAATAATAATATTCCTTAAGAATCATATTATTTAAAAATTAATAACTGCATTAATAATATATATAATTAATCACTTATTTAAATATATTATATTAATAATTATTTTATAATTAAATTTTATATTTAAATTTTTTAAAATAAATTTAAATTATTAAAAAGCTTTTCTTTTAATTTAATAATGGTAATAAAATTTGTTAATTTCTTTAAAATTATTTATATTAATATTATAATTAACTTTAT